GATAAATGACTGACTTGCTTTTCAAAAACGTTTTTTCCCCCAGAAAACACAGTAAGGTACAGGAGCACAACAATATTTCCCTCACCAAGAATCAGAGCTGAATTAACGGTCTGAACAGAGCTTTTCTCTGCATGTCGTCCAGCTGGAACACTGAGGGGGATTTTCCATCCTCAGGTAACCCACTTTACTTGTGGCATCGGCTCTGTTGTCACCCGTGGCGTGGGGACTCATTAGTGTGTCTGCTGACGTCTTGTTTCTGTGGACCGGAGTTCCTCTATTCAACACCCCAATGGATGAATTAACACATGAAGATGAAATGTCAGCTGTTACATGTGAATGAGGATTAGAGAAACAGCAGGGTACTAATGGACCACAGGGCTCATAATAGTCAAGGCAGCTTTGAACAAGCATCTGAACCATCAAGACCAAACAAAACAAGCAAAAGACAAATCCATGATTTTTTAAAATATTTTTATTGAAGTGTGTCAGTGTAGCTTTTGAAATGTCACTTTTTTTGCTTTATGATGCTTGCCTAAAATGACATTCCACAAGGATTTTGTCCAAATGCACACACTCATGAACACACACGCAGGTTTGCCCAGCTACACATTTGGGGACATTCCATTGACTTCCATTACACTTCCAGGTCTCTCTTGAAAAAGAGGTTTTTAATCTCAATGGGACTTCCTGGTTAAATAAAGGTTATAAATAAATAAATAAATAAATAAATAAATAAATAAATAAATAAATAAATAAAATTACATTTCTACAGCCTAACCCTGACCACAAACCCTAAGGCTAACCTCACAGGTGTCTAGCTGACCCTAAAACTAACCAAAACTAAATTCACACATGGTCCTAAACCTAACCTACACACCCACCAATGGCATTTAAACCAAACGTGGACTCGACTTAGGTCCTAAAATGCACCAGTTGTCCCCAAATGTAGGTGTTTTGTCTTAAAATTGCTCCCAAATGTCACCAGAATCAACCCCACTCATGAACACACACACACACTCTCACATTCAATCTGCTAAAGTATGAGGTTTGTTTTATTCCGCGAGCTCCTTTTACATGTCAGCTGCCATTGTCTTCTAAAGAACTTTATTCTCCTCATTTCAATATGCTAATTTGATCTCGATTGTCATTCAGGGGCACCTGGCACTCCATGCCTCCAGCGTCTCTCCATCAAATCAGACACAAGAGAATCGAACTAAAGTTCTCTCACCAGGTTCTGTAAATGTGAATGCTGGAAGTGGGCTGGAATATTTGCTCTTCCTGGGGATCGTACACCTTCACAAGGATTACCCAGCTTTCTCAAACACCATCGCACCATTCATGCAGTCAGGTGTGTTTGTGTTGCAGTGCTAGGTGAGACAACAGTTTTCCCAGACTGAAACAACATTTCATTAGTTGTGTTGATTGTGATTTGATGGGACATCATCGTTAGAGTGATAGCTGCTCTGTTGTCACGCCACACAGTCGTCAGTCCTAATGAGGGCTGCAGCCTGCTTAATTACCCTTAAGACCCTTTATCTCTGATTGCCAAAAGCAAAACTCAATGGACATTTGCGCACGTAAGCAGCAACATAGTCCCAACACACACACAGAAACACACACTATGGATCATCACATGCAGCACATAAACAGTCGCAACATAAGTGACTTTTTCCCACCTTCCATTTTTTATCTACAGTATTTTCTAAGGAGGCTCAGGGGTCAAGGGGCAAACTCTACAGGGAACAGCCTCCAAATGCTGGGATGCCACCCTGCAAGGACTCCAGGGAACAAAAGTCACTCGGTTTGTTAAATCCCAACTCAGACACACTGGCTGCTCCAAACAAACAGGGCGTGGTATATAGATCCTTCTGGTTCCTCACAAATCAGTTGCTAAATATAGAAGTGGTGCAGAGCAACATGAGCTAAATATGAGCTGCATTTTGTTAAACTGTGTTTATCAGTCAGGGCTCATAGATGGCACTGAAGAGCATGTGTTTTGGTGCTATAACCTTAAGCCAACAAACTGAGAATGAGTACAAAGAACAGAAACAGGGTATCTGCAGGTTTTAGCAAGTCAAAGACTTTTTCAAGACCTTTGTAATACCACCTTGTACGAAATTTAATACAGAAAAATATAAGCGATGGTTGGAGGATTCTGCTGTATTACAACCAAGCACACGAGCGTCACTCAATAAAACAGGTTGAATGTAAAGACATTCAGTGCTTTCTGGTTCAATAACTGTATTGTACAAGTGCAGTTATTTGGTTGGAAACCTCCAACAAAAATTCATCTACTAAACTAAATACATTCATGACATGAAACTTAAATGTGTCTTACTCTTAGCCTCCAGTTTTGCCTTTTTACAAAAAGAAGTCATCCAGGTAACTGTCAATAATCATGCACTTTCATTTGCACCATCAAAATCCAACAGATTTCTGAAGGAAGAGAGGAGTTTTCTCCAGTTTATTTTTATGTAATATCAGTTTTTTGAATTGAGAGACTCTGATATATTTGAAAAATTATATCACATAAAGTCCTTTACAAAGAACAATTTTTGTTTTTTATTTTATTTATATTTATTTATTTTTAGTTTGACAGATTTCTCCCTTAAAATCATTTCATTCAAAGGAAATGTTTACAGGATTACAGCTCATGTACTCATACTGATTCATGATTTGGAATCCTTCTAGAAGGCAACTTGTGACCTATTATGGTCAAAGGTTTTCTTTTGCTAGTGACCAATTTGTGCGCAACTCCTATATTGGTAGGAGTTGAATACATTGGATAATCATACTATTTATTTTTCACATTAGTATAGTAGTATAGTTCTAAAGATAATAAAAGTTTAGCACATCCAAACAGACAAAACACCTCATTATTGCTAAAACATTTTATAGGATTAACTTGTTCTTCATGAGTTTGAGGGAAAATTAAAATTAAACTGAGACAAACAGCTTTGCTGTGATCTGAAGTCTACAAATATTTATCTTTTAGCGTTAATATTGTTTAATAACTGAAGAAGCTGCTACAACTTGTCTCTCACCATGAGGAGTTTGGTCACGCGTACAAGTTTCACATGTCTGTAAATAACAGCAACGCTCCAAACACAATTAATGTTCAACACAAAGTTGGACTTTTGCAAAAAATCCCGGGCAGGTCGGGGCTCTGTTTTGGAAGACAGGTGGAAGTAACGGTGTAACAGCTCAGGTATCTCCTCGGCTGCAGCGAACTGCTCATGTGTGAACACATACATTTAATAATTTATTACATAACTTCACCTTCGTGCAGGGCGGGTGGTTCTAGCAGGTGGAGGTGTACTCCTTGGAAAAAAGTCAGAGCAACTCTGATTAGTTCACCTGCAGTCCAGATTCTGCTCACAGACTGCAGGACCCGCCCTGCTCTGCTCTGATTGACTAAAACTGTGACTCTGGTTCTTTTTATTGGTTGAAAGTATCAGTTAATCCATCACAACAAAACAAGTATTTTTTTTCTCAACAGGAAATGCATTGCGGAGACGGATCACTTTAGTCACTTCTGCCCAAAAAAGATGCACCCGCTTCGGATGTTATCATCCATGAAATGGAAATTATTAGGTGTTATCAGTCCCCTAGAATGGCTTCAGAATGTCCCGCCTGTGCTGGTTAGCAGGTTCCCCGTCCCATAGAATGGCTTACGATTGTTAGCTTTTTAGTATGAGGCATAAATCCACTATCTGGTTAATATGAGGCATAAAAAATCTGGTTAATATGAAGCTTAAAGCCACCAAGATTAACCTTAGAGCAGATGACCTGGTTAGCACTAACCTCCGACGAAAGTATTTTGTGGCCTCTCAACAGGGCAATGGGTAGAGTGTCAGACCAGGGAATGGGAGACCAGGGTTTGAGTCTGACATAGACACAAAAAATTTATTACAACATGTTTTGGTTATTTACACATTCATTGTCATTAATATATTAACCCACTAGGGGGCACTGTTGGGACAGTCTGAAGGCTAGAAGGCAGAGTAGGGACCCTCTGAAGCCATTGTATGGGACTGATAACGCCTGATAACATCCATTTCATGGACTGATAACACCAGAATCCCCTGAAAGATTTAAGACCGTTGAGTAACAAATTTAAGACCAACTTGCACATTTTTTAACAACTTTGACACTTTTTAAGGTCTTAATTTTAGGTATGTGAATTTAAGACTTTTTCAGGACCTGCGGACACCCTGAGAAACTACAGTAAATTATAGTAAAGTCAGAGAGATCCCTTTCTATCTAGTAGATGCTTATCAGCCAGTTGAGGCAGATGGCTGCCTGTCCTGAGCCTGGTTCTGCCGGAGTTTTTCCTTTCCACTGTTGCCAGCTTGGGGCGGGGCCACATGGGGCATTGACCTCAGCTGAAATCTGCTTGGCCCCATGAAGTGCCCCTGTCCTGTCACTCATCTGTTCTTTGCTCAAGAGCAATGATTGTGGGTGCAGTTCCATGTTCAGACACTAGTGGCACTAACGAGTCAAGTAAGAATGTCCAGCATGAATCAAACTTACAGAATTCTTGTTCTCTTCTTAAGAAAATTTGAACTATCCTGCTGAAAAAAATCTTTCAGCTGACAGACAAAGGCTGGATTTTTTCACATGCTGTGTGTTTAAGAATATTTTATACAGTAAAAATGCATGTAAAAATTTTAACAAGAATTAACTGTGCAAGCTTTTATTTTTAAATTACAAGTGTTTGAATATATACGCATATATCTTACTAAAACTAGGGATTTGTGTGAAAGGATGTTAAACAAATACTTGCCCCCTTCATAAATATGTGGCCCCTTGATGGCATCTTATTCAAAAAAATCTTAGATCCGCCACTGATCTGCTGGCTTCCTTTGTACAATGCCCTAAGACGATTGTTGAGACTTTGCACTATGTAAATAAACTGAATTTAATAGATGCGCCATATTAGGTTGTCATCATATTTCAGGTTCATTCTTTTATTTGTTGATCACACAAAACAAACATTATGTTTTTAATGGACATAATGAGCCATTTATTAGGAAATCTTCATCTGGAGTGACAAATCTTTTACATATGGCCTAAAATATGGAGTTTAGTTCGTTCAGCTGACCAGAGTCTCCTGTTTTTATGATTCCTCTCCAGCTTGTTTGGTGATCACTCTCAGCTTGCTGCTGTGTGGTTTGGACTTCCTGACATTACACCCAGTGTTCTCTGGAAGGGAGGAAAACGAAAGCAGCATTAGAGGGGCACACACATGCCATAAACTGGCGTAGGTTCGATAAAAACAAGTGTGCACCTGACGGCACCCCTCGTGGCTGGAGGCAGACTGAAGCCAAGCTGAAGAGGGAGAATATGACGAAGGCTATGATGATGAAGGTGAGCTCAACTCCAGTGAAAGGCAATTCCATCTATACAACTATAAAAAAAATGCAGTTAAACGACACCGAAACCGGTGGAAAAATCTCTTTGTAAAATTTCATATTTGTCAAGCAGAAAAAAGTTTTTTTAATGACTGCTAATCAGGGCCGGTTCTAACCAATTTGGGGCAGATTTCAGGTGGCACCCCATGAAATCTTCTAAATCTCACTGCATATTTACATACATTCACATACCAAATTAAATAATTTTGTTCTTGATATAAACATTTTTTAATCTTTAGAAACCAGGTTGTCCAATTAAAATAGTTAACAGTGTAATTCGTTTGAAACAGATATAAGATCAACTCAAAACTGTATTTTCCAGCTATTTGAAGACAATTTTACTCAATTCTTGAGATTGATCAAACAGCATAAAATCAACTTTTTAGAACACTGTTAAAACACAGACTGCATCATATGATACTTTTATCATGAAATATTCTCTGCACCATATAACACCTCATGTAGTAACAAAGCAGGCTGAGAAACCCACAAAACAAATTACTTTCATAAACTTGAGTAACTATTCTACAGACTAAATCAACTATACTCTGATAAGTTATTAATTTTTTTTACTTCCCCCATTTGTGTCACCCCCAGATGGACAACACCCTTAGCATTTGCCTATAGTGCCATGCCACAGGCTGGTCCTGCTGCTAATACCCTTTTCATCTAAGATTTATTCTTTTTTTAACATATGACATGTTTAGAACAACAGTTATCAAATGCTTCATTTTCTTATAAAAACATGATTAAATCTATTTAATTGTATGTCTTTAAAATACCCCAATACTTACACTAATTATAGTAATTACACTTTAAAATAAACCATTACAGATAAACTGCAGCCAAATACAAGCTGTTATTATAACTTATGGTAGTGTCATTTCATCTCTACCATTTTAGAAAACAAAAATACTTTTTTCCCCTTGTACTCCATAAATTAACTCTAGTGGTGTTTTATAAAATGGAGTCCTCAGCTCAGCTGTCTCCACAAGAGGGCCCAATATGTAGTTCAGTTTCCCATCACCTGCAGTTTATTGCCCAGGTCTCATTTCAGAATCCTGAACTGTGTGCAGGATGTTTACACTGGCACCAGATAAGACTTTAGCAGTCTCCATAGAAACATGGTGATGTAATGGTCACCACACGTTGGACAAACACAAATAAATCACTTTGTGAGGCAATAAACATATAGAGAATTATGATTAGGTGAATAAATTCTTAGTTTTCAGTCAACTTAACAACCTCCCTCTTCACCCACGAGGTCTCAGCGACCCACGTTTCAAATTAAACCATAATGTGATTCAAGTGTTCACATTATGATCAACTTTATAGAAAGGAAGTTACAAGGTGACAGGTGCTACATAGACTGATCCTTTGCTGGGTCTTCATGTTTGACACAGGTATGTGTCCCTGTGAAGTTTCAGTCAGTTAAACCAAATAGATTAGCTGTCACTCACACATATTTTTCCCCTTATGCACTCCTACACACACCCTCAGCCGTTAAAAAAATGTGAGTGAGTCACATCAGTGTTCTGTAGAACACCTTGTTTTTCCTGATGTCGATTTTCAACTGAGACTGAGAAAAGTTTTAAAACATGAGAGTAGTAGGTTTATAGCTCTTGAGACTTACTGAGAGAAGAATAGCGAAGGCTGTTTCCCCAGATTAAAACTTCAAAATAAAAGCATTTTGTCTCCTCGCCTCCAGAAAGCAGAGCCAGCTGGCAGGCGACGCTGGAGCTGCTGAACCAAGTGCCACTTTTTTTCAGTGCACAATGTAGGCACTCCTTTGTGCTTGGAATGAAAATAAAAGCGTCTCTTCTCAGAGTACACCCATATGTTTTCAGAGGTCAGCCCAGGCAGTCTTTGTTTGGAGTGCTGATAAAAGCTCAAGGTGTTAAGATGTCCTCGGAGCGCCTGATAGGAAATGATTTCTCTGCTGCTTTTTGACGTTTACACCAACAGCTCCTCGCTTTGGAGCTTATCCTTTGTTTCTGCAGAAGATAAAATAACAAGAAAAATAGTTTGTTTTATCCTAATTTCAAAACTGTTATCTTCAATGCTTAAAGAATAGCACAATGAATGTGGTAATCATAATTACACTTAATAGGTCAGTGCATAAACACAAACCACAATATACTGTATTTTATGGACTCAATATAAAGGTCAAAATGCAAATATAAACGAGGAGATTTTAAAATAAAATATAGACAAAATGTTATTTTCTGTGACTTCTTTTGCTTCAACTATTAAAACAACCAAGCTAGTAAAGTATTTTAAAGCTCATCATTTTTTTAACCCTCTGGCACATGGTGTATGGGACAAATCATGTGCCAGCAGGAATTGAATTTGAATTGCTCAGATTGAATCTGTATGTGCATAACGTGAAATTGAATGCATTGGTTTGAAAATAAATTTCACTAAATTGAAACTGAATTTAATTATTTGAATTTGAATTAAATTGCTTTGAAACTGTATTTTGGTTCATTAAAAAATTCAGTTTGACTACTTTCACTTTCAGTTCCATAATTCAGATTTTTGTGTCACACTTGTGTTTGAGAAAGCCAGCCAGAGTAATCAAACACAGATTTACTGTATGTTTCACTTTGGTGACGTTTCCCTTCTGTATGTAACAGAGTTGATGCAACCCACCGTGAAAGTGACAAAAAACAGAGTTATTTCATTGGAGTGACTAATTTTACCTATAGAAAATGTTACATTTATATCACATCATGGATCAGTCAGCAGCAGCATCTGATCAATATGGGATCCATGATGGGATGTAAATGTAACATTTTCTATATAAAGGTAAAATTAATCACTCCAATGAAATAACTCTGTTTTTTGTCACTTTCACGGTGGGTTGCATCAACTCTGTTACATACAGAAGGGAAACGTCACCAAAGTGAAACATAAATCTGTGGATCTGTGTTTGATTACTCTGGCTGGCTTTCTCAAGGACCAGGATGTGACACAAAAATCTGAACTTTGGAAATGAAATTTAATTATGGAACTGAAAGTGAAAGTAATCAAACTTAATTTTTAATAAACCAAAATACATTTTCAAAGCTAATTAAAATTCAGTTTCAATTCTGTGACATTTATTTTCAAACTAATTTCACATTATGCACATACAGATTCAATCTGAGCAATTCAAATTCAATTCCTGCTGGCACAAGATTTATCCCACACTCTCTTCTGCTTCACTCCTTTGGGGTTTTTTTTTATTATTGTTCAAACAAAAAAGCAGTTTCAATGAAAAATAAAAATAAAACTTTAAATCAAACAAAAAAGCAATTTCAATAAAAAAAATTTAAAAGTCTAAAAGAAAAGGGTAGGTCCTCTGGATGGGTTCTTCTTTAGTGAAACGTTTCATCTCAACCAAGAGACTTCTTCAGTCTGATGAGTTTCAGGTAAACTCAGCCTTTTAAGCACTGCCTCCACATGGACAAACAGGTTAGTCACACGCAAAAGAGGGCCATCACCTAACAATAGGCTTGATTAGCTCTGTTGTTCATTGTTCATGTGTCCCATCACCTGACCTGTGTTGTGTTACGTGCATGTAGTGAGTGCAATTGGGGTTCAACGTCCCCTTGTTTTTGTCTCTCTTTCCCTCTTTGTGTTGGTATCATTGGGGCCCTGATTCACACCTTTTGCTCACAGGGGGCTGAGTCATACTTGCAATAACAGCATTGTTGGAGGAGGACAACTGGACACGAAGGCCTCCACCTCTGTTTAATGATGGACAGTTTTTCTTCACAAAGATGGCTTCTTTTACTCCTCTCTCAAACCAATGTTCCTCTCTATCAAGGTTGAGAACATCTTCATCCCTGAAAGAGTGACCGCTGGCCTGTAGATGAGTGTAAACTGAAGAGTCCTGACCCGACGATGTAGCTCGTCTGTGCTGACTCATTCTTTTGAACATTGGCTGTTTTGTTTCTGCAATGTATGACTGATCACAGTCCTCCTGACACTTAACGGCATATACAATATTACTCTGTTTTTGCTGGGGAACTGGGTCTTTGGGGTGAACTAATCTTTGTCGTAACGTGTTTTGGGGTTTGAAAGCCACTGGGACGTCATGTTTAGAGAATAAACGTCTCAGTTTCTCTGAAACTCCCGCCATATATGGAATGACGACTGGTTTGGGCTGGGATTAGGGCAGGGCTATTCAACTAAATTGCTCCGAGGGCCACAGTCACTGTAGGCCAACAGCTGAGGGGCCAAACATCCAGCAATTAAAGGCATTATAAACCAAGATCTGTTACCTTTGAAATAATTTGTTTCACTGTGTTTAATCATAAATACAACATACAGAACCCTATAAAAGTAGTGATAATTAAACAGTTTCAAAATTAACACATTATGCCTCCTGTTAGACACAAATATTATTTTGATATCTCTGACTTGCCAAATTTTTAAACCAATTTTATTTTTATTTTCATAATTTTATATTCAACTGCTTGTAATTTTAACTGTCTTGAGGGTTCATAGAAATGGTTTTTACCAGCTTGTAGCCAAGATTCTGATGTATATGTACGTGGATACCAAACATGTTTGTTTAACTAAAGGGCCTTAAAGTAATTAAAGTAGAAAACCAGGAGTTTGGGCTGAAAAGATGAATGAACCAATTGGCGGGCCGAACTTTGGTCACTCGCAGACCGGATGTGGCCCGCGGGCACCCAGTTGAATAGCCCTGGTTTAAGGTCTTCATTTTCAGCTGCTTGTTGGCTGGAATATTGTTTGGGTTTCTTGTCTGCTTTCAGAAAAGCTGAGTCAGGATAACCGCACTGCTCCAGGGCCTGTCTTGTGCCTTCGTGTCCAGTTGTCCTCCTCCAACAATGCTGTTATTGCAAGCATGACTCAGCCCCCTGTGAGCAAAAGGTGTGAATCAGGGTCCCAATGATACCAACACAAAGAGGGAAAGAGGGACAAAGTTATTAGTTAGTGTGGACTGAAGCGATTTCCTCGTGCACCTGCTTTGAATGTTGTCCACATTAAACGGCCGTTATTAGAGGTCATCAGTTCCATACAATGTGTCCAGACTGTCCCTTCTCTACCTCCTAGAAGGTTGGAAGGCACTTACCAATAATTTACAGTATATGCCTGATAATATGCATTTAAGTGCAGTGGGTTTATCTCCTCCTCCGGGACACAGAGCTCAAGTGACCGGCCCAGCTTGCTGTCCTTTGGCCGGGGAAAGAACTCGATCTGTGGCATGGAGAGCTGGGCTGGCTGTAGCTGGTGGTTGCCCCAGACATTGCTAACAGTTGCTAACAGGCAGACAGCAGAGTTTTCGGGGTCAGCTCAGACATGTTTCAAACTTTAATCAGCTGATCTCTGTGGTGCGTTAAACATTTCCTGAAACTTTCGTGTGGTTCTTGTGCAAATTAGTTACAGTTTGTGTGAGTAATACATAGCGTTAGGTCCATATATATTTGGACACTGACACAAATTCTGTCTTTTTTATCTGTATACTGAAACATATTCAAGTTATAGTTATATAATGTACATGGACATAAAGTCCAGACATTCAGCTTTCATTTGAGGGTATCCACAATAAAACTGGATGAAGGTTTTAGGAGTTTCAGCTCCTTAACATGTGCCACCCTGTTTTTAAAGGGACTAAAAGTAATTGGACAATTGACTCCAAGACTATTTCATGGACAGGTGTGGGCAATCCCTTCATTATGTCATTCTCAATTAAGCAGATAAAAGGCCTGGAGTTGATTTGAGGTGTGGTGCTTGCATTTGGAAGATTTTGCTGTGAAGTAAACATGCGATCAAAGGAGCTCGCCATGCAGGTGTATCAAGCCATCCTCAAGCTGCAAAAACAGAAAATACCCATCCAGGAAATTGCTACAATATTAGGAGTGGCAAAATCTACAGCTTTGTACATCCTGAGAAAGAAGGAAAGCACTGGTGAACTCATCAATGCAAAAAGACCTGGGCGCCCACAGAAGACAACAGTGGTGGATGATGGCAGAATAATCTCCATGGTGAAGAGAAACCCGTTCAAAACAGCCAACCAAGTGAACAACACTCTTCAGGAGGTAGAAGTATCAATATCCAAATCTACCATAAAGAGAAGACTGCATAAAAGTAAATACAGAGGGTTCACTGCATGGTGCAAGCCACTCATAAGCATCAAGAATAAAAAGGCTAGACTGGACTTTGCTAAAAAAAACATCTGAAAAAGCCAGCACAGTTCTGAAAGAACAGTCTTTGGACAGATGGAACCAAGATCAACCTCTACCAGAATGATGGAAAGAGAAAAGTCTGGTGAAGGCTTGGTACAGCTCATAATCCAAAGCACCACATCATCTGTAAAACACAGCAGAGCACTGTGATGGTTTGGGCATGCATGGCTGCCAGAGGCACTGGGTCACTATTGTTTACTGATGATGTGACACAGGACAGAAGCAGCTGAATGAATTCTGAGATATTCAGAGCCAAACTGTGTGCTCAGATCCAGCCAAATGCAGCCAAACTGATTGGTGGTCGTTTCGTACTACAGATGGACAATGACCCAAAACATAAAGCCAAAGCAACCCAGGAGTTTATTAAAGCAAAGACCTGATCTCAACCCAAATGAGCGAGCATTTCACTTGTTAAAGACTAAACTTCAGACAGAAAGGCCCACAAACAAACAGCAACTGAAAACCACCACAGTGAAGGCCTGGCAGCGCATTAAAAAGGAGGAAACACAGCGTCTGGTGATTCCATGAGTTCAAGACTTCAGGCAGTCGCTGACAACAAAGGGTTTTCAGCCAAGTACTAGAAATGAAAATTTTATTTACAATTATTTAATCTGTCCAATTACTTTTGAGCCTCTGGAATGAAGGGATTGTGTTTAAAAAATCCTTTAGTTCCTCATATTTTTATGCCATCATTTTGTTCAACCCACTGAATTAAAGCTGAAAGTCTGAACTTCAACTGCATCTGATTTACAACCAATACAGTCACAACAAAAGATGAGGTAATTACATGACTTGAGTTGGAAATATACTTGAAGATGCATGACAGTTGTAATTTTAAGATATATTTTTGAAAAATAAAAGAATGTCAGCTTTCATACATGTAGTCCACCGGAGTGGATAAGTGTGTAACTCTTTGAAAAAAAAAATCAAAAGAAAAAAGTTTTTTTTTGTGCCCTAAAAAGAATAAAACCACTAAAGATTTTTTAAATTCAGGCTTTAATTCATGCACAAATTTATTTTACCTATTAAGTCAACGTTTAACATGCTTAATTACTGAATGTGACAAATGCTAACAATGAGTGAATCAGTTAAATGTCACACAGTCTAAGTAGTCATAATGCTTTGTTTGCCTAAAACAATAAAGCTAACTGAGCTGTGTTCTGACTCGTCAAAAGTCTGAAATTTATTTACATTAAACTCTCTGAGCTAAAGAAGAGAAGCTTGATCTAGTTCATTAAAGTGTGATAGTGTAGGAGTGCATTAGTGATCCAAACGTGTCACTTATACCTAAATAAGCAATTTGTGCTGCAATCCAGTGTGTCATTAATAAAACGCCTTAGCTTAGCACACACTAAACCACAATATGCTTGTAATATAACCCACATGGCTCTGTTTTAACACAGTATTGGCTCTGAACTGCAGCCTTATGACGTGAAACCCACTAACAAACATTTATATTACGAAAAGGAAAATATAAAAAACTGTTCAGCCACTTAAATTTGAATTCAAATAATGAGAAAATGTTCTGGTTTCGAATGTTTAGACGGCGTTCTCCGTCAACACCAAAAATAAGAGAGTTCATTCAATACGCCAATGAACACGACAAATACTGCTTTTGAAATCGATCATTTCAAAATAGAAAATAATACTTAAATGTTTTTCAACATTTAAAATGTTTTTTTTTCTTATTTAAGCTTTACATTGTTAAATCATTGTATTCTGTTTTAATTCAACATCATCACAACTGCTTTTTCAAAGATAAAGGAATTACTATTACGTATTATTTTGATACTGGTGCAACAACTTGAAAATAATTTTTAAAATTCAAACCAACTTGAATCACTGTTTTATGTATTTAATTATTTTCTTTGCAGCCATACCTTTTAAAAGTGGACACCACTCGCCGACCATCCCGATGAGCGTGAAGAGGCCGAACACCAGAATGGAGAACATGATCGTCAACACCTCCAGCTCAGTTGGCAGAGAGGCCATCTGCAGCACCGGGACCTCACAGTAACATCAGTAAAATCACCTGCTCTATGGTGAATCAGAGTAAAAGACATACCCGGTGCACCACAGGAGCTTTTATACCCTGACCACCTTCGTGTCACACACACACACTTGTATTGTCTCTCTCTTGTTGCTTCTCTTTGTCACACGCCTCTAAGAGCTGTGAAGAGCTGACTTACACATCCCCTCTCAAGTTCAACGAGATCATATGAACATGAATTTTTTATGGGGCCTTGCGCCTGTCCCTGTGTAGTGACCACGAGCAAGCAGAGACGTCCCACAAAAGATTTACGATAAAATTAAAGAATTTAACGCTATCAGTGTTTCTCTTTCCTTTTCTAGCGACACAGCAAAAACTACATTTCTGTTCTCGACGTGAAGCAGAAATAGTTTCCTTTGAATCTGGTTTGCTTGCAAAAAAAAAGGAGAAGTAAAAAGAACAGTGGGGTTTGTCTGTGCAGAATCGTTTTGTTCATTTTCACAAACCAAATTTAGTTTAAATGAACATTAAAGAACATTTGTTGAATCCCAAAACAAGTGGAAACAGAATTCCTTTCATCTGAAAAGAAGTAAAAAGTATTTAACGTGCAGATCTGTGTTTGTTTAAAAGGATGTGGGTGTTTACTCCACTCATCTGACCACTTCATCTTTCAGAGGTGTCAAACCAAAAAAGTGTTTTTGCCACAATGTGTTGCATTTGCTATTATTTTGCTCACACTGTTTTCATCCTGCGAAATTAGCGAGAATTACAGGTAATAATGTTAACAGTTTTATATACAGCGGGTAAAATAAATATCGAACACGTCACCATTTTTCTCATTAAATATATTACTAGAGGTGCTAATGACATGAAATTTTCACCAGATGTTGATAACAACCCAAGTGATCCATACATACAAAGAAATCAAACCATAAATGTCCAGAAATGAAATTATTTGTAATAATGTGGAATGGCACAGGGAAAAAGTATTGAACACACTTACTGAAATTTATCTAATACTTTGTACAAAAGCCTTTGTTGTCAATGACAGCTTCAAGACTGTATGGAGAAACTAGTGGCATGCATTGCTCAGGTGTGATTTTGGCCCATTCTTCCACACAAACAGTCTTCAAA